CTGTCCTCATAACTTCTATTCGTTTATTGAAAGGAACAGTTAATGCTCAATTGTTGGATCAATTTTGCACGCCTACATCTGGTAGTCTGAGCAACTACTTTGAAGATAGCAATATGCAAAACAACAACCACTGTTAATTTCCTATCATCTTGTTTTGAAATTGTGTATCTATTTTTTATTCTCTTTAAAATAAAAAAAAATGAGACTACATCAAAGTAAGAAGGTTCTGCAAGCAAAGGAATCAATCATAAGCGAAGAAAATAGAAAAAAGTATTTGCAAACTACTCGTTTGAGTTTATATTAGTGTATATAAAGAATAACAATAACTTAGAAGCCCTCCCAAAATATCTGATTTAAAAATGGGTAAGTGATCAGAATAGACATCTTATCAAAAGGACTCACAGAAAAACATAGGAATGCAGTATAAGTATGCAAAAATACTCACTATCACTATTCATCAGAGAAACACAAATCAAAACTACAGTGAGACATCATTATTTCACCCTTGTTAGAATAGCTATGATCAAAAAGCAAAAAAAAAAAAAAAAAAAAAAAAAAAAAAGGTGCTGTGCCAGAGGTCTTTTTTTTTGTTTTTGGTACTGGGAATCAAACTCAGGACCTTGTGCTTGCCAGGCAGGCACTTGTGCCGCTGAGCCATATCCCTGGCCCTGGGCAGGAACTCTTATACTTGCTTGTGGAAATACACATTAGTGCAGCCATTGTGGAAAACAGGATGGAAGTTCATCAAAAAACTGAAACTAGGGGCTGGGGATTTAGCTCAGCGGCAAAAGCGCCTGCCTGGCAAGCGCAAGGTCGTGAGTTCGGTTCCCGGTACCGGAGAAAGACCAAAAAAACAAAAAAAAAAACAAAAGAAAAGAAAAACAAATTATTTTAACTAATGAAACTAGTTATATTTCTCTCAGGAATGTGTGAGAGTTCCAGTTCATACACACCCTTTCCTAATCTTGGTACTGTTTAATTTCTTATTTTTGATAAGTCTGATGATAAGATTATTGACTGTGATCTTATTTTCCGTGTCTCTTATTACTAATTATGTTGAACAACATTTTATACACTTATGGCTCATACATGCATCCTC